ACGGCGATTTCAAGATTACGAACAGGTCATCTTAGAATGCTTAAATTTAATGGAAAAATCAAAACATTCCCGAAATGCCCCAAATGCAATTCCCAACCAGCCAGTCCTGAACATCTATTGAATTGTATCAAATTCTCCAAAAAATACCGCTGGGAAAACCCCAGGACTATAATAGAAAAGCTGAGACAATGGAACCTAATGTCGTGTCAAGTCGTTTAAACGACTTGAGGAATAAACAACAACATATTTATTTTTTTTACTTGTACACACACAAATCTCAATTTCTGTTATTATCACTAATTTTTGTTCTTTAAGAAAAGAAACTGCTTGTTTTTGATTGCTTGCATATAAGTCTATACCATGGCATAACCAGTTTGTTCACTGTATGATAACACTGGAGGATTATAGATAGTAAAACCTTTTTGTTTAATATACAGTTGAACCTGTCTATAGCGACCCTCTAAATAGCGCCTTCCTCTCTATAGCGTCCGATTTTAAACTTTAAAATGTAAACTTTTTACATTAAAAGTGACCTGTATATAGCACCCCCTCTCTATAGCTTCCCATTTTGTTGAGTCCCAAGAGGGGGCACTATATACAGGTTTAACTGTATTGATTATTTTCTAGAATGTGTGAACCGAATATACTCGTGTTGAGAAGCTACAAGTATAGTTGTGTTAAACTTGTATATATCGACTCATGGACAAAACTTAAGGAAGTGGAATTTCTTTGATGCCTCGGTTATCTTTTTTTTTTATTATTATTTAAGGTGACAGAGGCAATTTTGTTCACACTTGGTTATCTCGTGTGTCTTCAATAAAAGTCATTGTGTATATAATATCTTTCAGTGTTCTTGTTTGAATCCCGATATACATGCTAAAAGGTAGAACTTTCTTAAGTATTGTCCATGAGTGTATATTGGGGTGGGGGGTTATCTCGTGTGTATCCAAAAAAGTCATTGTGTATCAAATATCTTTTAGATTTATTATCTGAATCCTGATATACATGCCAAAAGGTACAACTACCTTAACTTTTGTCTCCATGATGCCCCGGTTATCTGTTTGTTTGTTTTTTTTGTTGTTGTTGTTATTTTTTTGGAAGCAGAGGCAGTTTTGTTCATACTTGGTTTGTTATCTCGTATGTCTTCAATAAAGGTCACTGTAATATATTTCAGAGTTATTGTCTGAATACCGATATACATGGTAAAAGGTACGACTTATTTATGTTTTGTCTCCATGAGAGTGTAATTTTGACACAGTTTTTAAACCAAAAATTGAAAATAATTTTTATTTATATAATATATTTAAAAATAATTATATATATTTTTTAAAATTTAAAATACCTAACAAAATATTTAACACAAATTGTTACATAAACACATTTATTTAAAAGGGTCAATAAACAATATAAAAATTTTGTGTTGATTACGGAAATAAAATAATTAATTACATAAATAAGATTAATTTAAAGTCCCATATGTAAATAGAATTTATGCAACAAAGTAAATTTATGCGTGTAATAAAAAGTCTCAGAGTTTGAGTAAAGATTAAGGTTTAATACCAGCTTTCGGTTATGGGGAGACGTGAGCTCCTGAAATAAAAAGGAGCAAGCCATTAAAACTCTAAATCAGAACACCCATAAATTTTTATCCATAGCTCTTTCGCTTACTTATAGAAAAACGCGGTTTCATCGAAAATTTCATTAAGTCCTTAAGGATATCTTCGAAAAATCGTAAAGGGACTTTAGTTTTATTTCTTTAGAAAGGCTTTTTATTTTAAAGTTTTTTCTTAAAGAAATTACCCCCATGTTCTGCTTGATGTTTCATTAAGAAGTTTGTGGTTATTCTTTGGTCGTTTACTGTTTGGATGGTTGCTTGTTTGTTGATATAGAGCTGGTTTACTGACGTCAGAGACTTGATTGGTCCTCTACAGTATGTCTTCTGCTTGAATTCACAGTAATCTACACTTTGGAATATGTATGTATGTGGTAATGTGGTTGTTTTCTTCCACTTGACAGAATTCTTACTGCATTGTCATCTCGCCAGTATTGACAGTTACTCATGCCTTCTACCAGGATTGTTTTGCCACGTCCTATTCTAGATTTGATTTTTCGATCTTATTTTTTATCCATTAATCTAACAATAGCAAAAAGCTCTATTAAGACCATTTGGTCTTATACATAGAAGAGAAAAAGATTATCTCCGAGTTATATACAAAGGTCAATCCAAAGGTTTTTGCTATTAATACTAAATAATTTTAAAATATTAAAAAATAATTTGAGTCAAAAGGCGATCCATTAATTAAGATTATATAAAAGGGCGTACCTTTTCTCAAAATATTTCGAGAGATTGATCCCTCTTTATGCATCCCACTGTGCAATAAATTGATAAAGAAGGAGCAATCTCTCGGAATATTTTGAGAAAAAAAAAAGTTTTTTTTTTCTTTACAGATCCAGGTACGCCCTTTTGTATATTATTTAAAAACATAAATTATGCCATTAAAATCTACATGCATGTTCTGCTTGATGTTTCATTAAGAAATGTGTGGTTATTCTTTGGTCGTTTACAGTTTGGATCGTTACTTGTTTGTTGATATAGGGCTGGTTTACTGACGTCAGAGACTTGATAGATCCTCTACAGTATGTCTTCTGATTGAATTCACAGTAATCTACACTTTGGAATGCATGTATGTGGTTATTTCTTCCCTTGACATAATTTCTACTGTGTTGTCATTTCGCCAATAATGGCAGTTACTTATGTCTTCTACCAAGATTGTTTTTTTGCTCTACATTGGGAAATGGGTCCCGTTGCCACGTTAGCCACCTTGGACCAGTTTTTGGTAGAATATTCCAAAGGTCCAGGGTGGACCTGTGTGGTCGGACTTCTCTTCCCCACACAAACATATATTCTCATGCCCAGCAATGGTCGCAGCCTTGCAAAAAATTGACATGGACCCAGAACAGCAGCTTTACACACGACTGCTGTGATAGAGATGTATGGAGACATCTTAGGCTCTTCATTGGACACGATAACAACAACCAAATTTGTTTAGGTCACGCCCTATTCTATATTTGATTTTTTATTCTTATTTTGTATCCATTATTCCAAAAAATATTTTTATTAAGACCTTTTAATCTTAGATTCTCCGAGTAGAAGAGGGTATATACATAAATAACAGTAACAGTAACAATAATCAGCAATGTTATTTACAATGTATCAAATAAGGGGAAAAAAGAAAGAAAGGGCATAAACTTATATACAAGCAATCTAGAACAAGCAGTTCCTTTTCTTAAAGAACAATAATTAGTAGAATTGACAGAAATTTAGATTAGTAAAAGTAAAAAAGGAATATATATATACACACACAAAGCCTTTATTGAGATTCTCTGGTCTCACATATTTCCTCCATTATGTGAGAAGGGATATTATATAAGTAAAAAAAAAGAAAATTAAGAAAGATCCAGTTAATTAGACATGTATTTGATTGTAAAAAAGGAATATACAACAATGTCATAATCACTTTTTTTTTTGCACAAGAGAACCTGATGGTGTTTCTATTGTAACTTTTCGTGCTGAACTCAAAAATCTAATCAGAAATTTCCCATCACCCATGGTTTTTGCCTGACGATCTTTTTTTAGTATTGGGATAAATACATGCATCCAACATGAAAGAGACTTACGAAAACATGAAACTGCTTTTGAAAAAGATAGAATATGAAAGATACGGTTGGAAAATATGCAGCGATTTGAAAGTCGTTGCTCTCTTGCGTGGATTACAGCTTGAAATACAAAATTTTGTTGTTTTCTGTGTGAGTGGGATAGCAGAGATAGGGAAAGGCATTACATTAAAAAAATCTGGCCAAACCGTAAAATCTTTACTCCAGGATATAAAAATATTGCAAATCTACCCCTGATCGATTCAGAAAATATTTACTTACCACCATTATATATTAAACTGGGATTAATGAAGAACTTTGTCAAGGCAATGGATCGAAATGCCAGTGGATTTGCCTACCTAAAACAAAATTTTTCTAGTATAAGTGAAGCGAAGATTAAAGAAGGCATTTTCGTTGGACCTCAAATTCGAGAATTGCAGCAGGATGGAAATTTTCAAAATAGTTTGAATGAATTTGAAGCAGCAGCATGGAATTCCTTTAGAAACGTTTGCAAAAATTTCTTAGGAAGTGTCAAGGTTGAAAATTACCCAGACATAGTTAATGATCTGTTGCTTTCCTACAAGGCACTGGGATGTAACATGTCCCTCAAGATCCATTTCCTGCATTCACATCTAGATTTCTTTCCAGACAATCTTGGCGCAGTTAGCGATGAGCATGGTGAGAGGTTTCATCAAGCTATATCAAGCATGGAGAAGCGGTACCAAGGTAAATGGAGTCCCGCTATGCTTGCCGACGACTGCTGGGCACTCAAGAGGGATCTACCACAAGCAAAGTATAGAAGAAAATCCACTGTCACTGCTTTTCAATAATAAATATGTTTCGTTCATATATGCCTATATATTAACAATATTTCCAAATTCAAGTAGGTGTATCTCAGAAATATTGTGTAATAGAAAAAAACTAATGGTGTATTTGGATTCAGGACATGTAGATAAGATGCTATTTATTTGTGGACAAAGAAAAATATTTTTTGATAAACCAGTTACGTGACATTGTTTGCAATTTTTAGTGTATTTATCCCAATACTAAAAAAAGACCGTCACGCAAAAACCATAGGTGATGGGAAATTTCTGATTAGATTTTTGAGTTCAGCATGAAAAGTTACACTAGAAACATAATCAGGTTCTCTTGTGCAAAAATCTTGTTGACCAGTGTTACCAGACTTCTATACAGTTTTATACATGGATGGATCAAAGATAGAGGATTATCTATAGTGGTAAATCCATTAATACTAAACAACTGAACGCGAATAATAAAAATATATTTTCATATTCAAATTTAAGATTAATAATCAATATATAACTCATAAAACGGAAAAAAATATGTCCAGGGTAGCCTAGTGGACATGCCATCTGTCCGGTAAACGGAGCACTGTGGGTTCGTTTCCCATCCCTGAACACTTTTATTTTTCCATTTATCATTACTCTTCACAATTCATTCTTTCATACTTCAAATCTAAGGTTAAAAATAATCGTTATTTCTCTTTAAAATAAATTTCGATTTTCCGTTAAAAAGAAACACATGCGGGATATTTTCAAATGTTCTACAATATATAACTCATTTCATGATAAAATTGTGAAAAAGTATTAAAATTACAAATATATTCTCACAATGAGTTTCTTTTTTATTTATAAAAACGCTAGCTTTCAAGCGTTATTTTAAATAAAAAAGAAACTCATTGTGAGAATATATTTGTAATTAAAATATATAACTCATATTATCAAATATAAAAATCTAAAACGTAATCTGATATTTAAAGTTAAAAGAAACGTAACAGATCAACTTCTAAAGAAAATATCACAATAGCCAATTGGAAGAAAGCAAAAGATAGTGTATAAATTCCATCAGATGACGCTCAATTATTCGATTTAATTGGAACCAAAAGAAAACGTGCAAAGTCAATTAATCTGGTTTAGCAAAAGACTAAACGAAATTCTTTTGCTTCCAATTTAAGTTCGGAAAACATTTTTATCTTCAACTTTAATGCAATAATTTCATTTGTTATTAGAACCTTTAACCCCTTTTTATCTATGACAAAAACATGTTCCTTTAATATTAAATTTTCTTTATAAAAATGAAATTATTAGGCATTTTTTGTTTTCAAATAATCAATAGATAAACTATGTTAATATATTGGTCCAATTTTCAAATTATCTCTTCGAATTCTTCTTTTTATGTTTTTTTCAAGTTAGTATCGTGAAAATTTTAAATATACAGTATATAAATGTTCTCATTATGTTTTTTTAACATTTATTTTTCGATTAGTAATAATATGTTAATTATAAAATATTACAGTTCAATTTACTAATAGGTATTTCAAAAGGTAATCACATCGTAAGAGATAGAGAAAGATTGAGATTAAAACTACTTTATTTCAATATTCATATAAGATTATATATGGTTAAATACATATAAATATCTAAATAAAAAACATATATTGGATCAAAATATAATTTATTTTACCAATATTTGAGTTGGCTGAACGTCAAACTTTATTAAGGTGTTATAACATATTTAATGTTTGATTTTCTGATCCAACATATGCCTTTTTAATTAAAGATTTATTTATAGATTGCTCTATTTTCAAAACATATAAATATGTGAATAAATAATATTATATAATAATAAATGAATTTATATATATATAAAAAATAATTGATAAATATACATATATATAAATATATACGAATCGTCATTGGTGGTGTCCAGAGAGAGAGAAAAATATCATTTTAATACTATCTTAAATTATATTTTAAAAATATATATTGTAATAACAATTTTTTGAAATAGATCGCGCACAGAATATATGGATAATTTCTAAATATAATTCACAAATTTAATATATTTATAACCAAATAAAATGTTCAAAATTTCAATAGAGAAATCACATTATAGAAAATATATACAAAGTATTTTACTTATAGAAATGTCAAATCATTCAAAATAATCATCTGCGAACAATAGCGAGGGGGAAAAACAAGCAGACGATATTACCACCACTAAGAATTAGGCTTAAGGCAAACATATCTAGTAGATATTAGCGTTTTCCACAGAGTGGAGTTTACAGAAGTTACTGGATTTAATGTCTTTAAGCCCTTTCGTTTCACCTGGATAAATACGAAAGGAAGCCGCCAGGGGCGCTGCTGTTGCAATTAAAATCGCAGCCGACCAACTCTGTTTGAATTGGTTCAAAAGATATTCGCTTTCTCGTTATACCCGCTGCAATATTTGTGTGCCAAGCTTGGAAATATTTTACTAATTAAAAATAACTTCTACATTATTTATATAAACAGGAAGCGGAATTATAATTACATACTTTATTTATTTTATTTTTATACGTCGTTTAATATTGTTATGAAACGGTTTTTTTTTAATACGATTTATGTTATTTTTACATGCTGGTCTTTTGGTATTACAACTGCACACACAAACAAAACCCGTGATCGGAACCGACGTAAAACAATTTTAAAATTCTTCAATGACCTTTTATTTATTAGACAATATTATCGGCGGTACAACTACTACAATAGGAACGATACAGAGAAAATTAGCACGGCCCCTGCGCAAGAATGACACGCAAAATCGTGAAGCGTTCATTGACCTCGAATCTTACACAAACCAACCTGAACAATGACTGTAAGTAACAATCGAACACATTAAGACGCAAATGTTTCTTTCACAAATAAATCAAACGCCTACTGTCCTTACTACGATGATAATATTTGAAGGGCTTTGCTCATCAGTAATGAACCCCTCCAGCGGTGTCACCAATTAATGTACCAGACCGTTTCTTTAGAGTTCTTTAAATTTAATTTATTTGTGAAAGAAACATTTGCGTCCTAATATTTTCATTTGTTATATATAGATGGCGTGTTATTGCCTCGTATTAATTGACTTTAAGTAACCAAACGGGGCTCTGACACTTTATACGTCCACAGGTCAAATTACCCGAGTGAATGATTTCATAATGAATATAGTTTTATAACACATTTATCATATTATTATAACCTTTTATAGCAATATCGTGATAAAACATTTTAAATTACAATTACAATTATTTTATTTCCAATGCGCTATATCCCGCAAGGAACTCTTGCGCCAAACAAGGAGAAAAGTTTATTTACATAAGTTATTTACATTATTCAACGCATGAAAACATTAGAGATCCAGATTCTGTAGAAAGTTTAAAATGTATTTACAAAATGTGAATTAAACTTTAAATATGATTTTTTTATCGGAAATCAAATCGTTAAGTTCACAAACAACTAGTTCATTCTTCATTCTATAATCTTGAAATGCTGGGCAATCGATCAGTAGATGTCTTGAGGTTCGTTCCTCAATACCACAAAAGCAACTTGAATCCTCCACTGCCTTTTTAATGAAAACTTTTCAGGGAGATATTGATCTAAATAAAGGAAAGTTTATCTCTCCCGTCAAAATAGACACAATAATTATAATTGGAATATAATATCCTTATAATCCCTTCCGATCCAAAAATATGCAAATTAGTTCGTTATTGAGCCAATTCGTATAGGGCTTGACTAATACGAAATCTTTACCGCTTGTTGTTATCTCTTTGTTTAGATATATAAATAAAAGAATTTAACTTAAACAGTAGTTCTTTAATACCCAGTGTTGAAAGTTATATAAGCTTATGATTTTGCTTTGTTTTAAAAATGAATCGATGTTGGTTCCATATGCTTGAATTGAATATTACACCTTAGTTCTATATATTTTATTGCTTAAAAAGGAACAAAATAAAAGAAGAAACTGGAATTGCAAATGATTTGATAACTAACTACGAAAAAAAAAACAATATCCAAAGTGGTGATGATAAAAAAATTGAAATATGTCTGCCAGAAAAATGCTTCTATGAATTAAAAAATAAGAATAATTAGAAATTAATATATACTTCAAACACCCAGTAAAGCATTTTTTCAGAGGATTCAACTAAAAGACTCTGCTAAGTTATCACAAATTTCACCGGCTCGAGGGTAAAAAAAGAGAAACATTGACCTACATGGTATATTCCTTTCTGTCAGCTATCCCTATGAAATACCATGTTAATTAATTAATTCGTTTTTTGATAGTGATAAATATAAAATATTTTATGATGCATTATCGCGCCATCTGTTATGAAAATTCAAACCTATTGTTACGTCGTACCCAGACGCTGTACTTTGTCTACTCAGGATGCCACAAAGATACACATGTGAGTTCGAAGGGATTGCAGCTAAAGTTAGCGCTTTATTGTATCTCACTTAATAGAAGGAATACAACAGTGGGATTGCCTTCAACCTCCCCGTCAGAAGAATTCTTGACGCCGTGGATGTACTCTCGTGAAGCGTTCCGCTCCACACAATAACGTCCAGCCTGGACTACACCGTCTTGTAGACCGCTCCGATGTCAGTATCTCCTGGCACCGCCTTTCAGGATCATCCACACGCCCGGAGTCAAGTCGCCACGTCTTCTCCTTGCCGCAGATGTAACCACACCCTGTCCTCTCCCACACAGGAATGCTGTTTTTAGCGCCTGCCACACAACTCTAACAAGATTCTAAATTCCATCTATGAATCCATTCTCCCCATGACCTCCTACAACTATACCATTGAATAACAAAAATAATGACTTAAAATTGAAGATACTTCGGCCAGTAATTTTTTTTTATTGTCTCGACGTTTCGACAAAAATATTTTGTCCTCCTTCTCTAGTTGTCTTGTCATCTTGAATACCTCGGGAGCAAAATTGGTCTTGATTGTCGTAAAAATAGAGGCTGCCTGGCTGGCCTTCATAGTTCTTCAAATTGAAGATACGGCCAGGCAGCCTCTATTTTTATGATAGAATAATGACTTAACTCTCATTGTTATTGAAACAATGAGAGATTTGATATTGGTTTGATTTATAAATATTTAGCAAATTTAATCTTTTATATTAATAGGTAAGTCTTTAAGATAGAGGTTGCCTGGGCAGCATTCATTGTTTTTTAAATAAGAATCACTTTGGCCAGTAGAGTTTTTATTTTTCGACGATTCAACAAAAATCTCTTGTTCTCGTCACGAAAAAAATATACACAAACTTTATGTAAAGGTGAAAAAATAGTACAAATGTAATATTGTACTGGGATAAGGTGTATAAATTATTTTTAAAAAAAGGAGATAAGGCGATACCTTTTTTTTTCATAATTTATGGAAAGGATTTTAAAATAGTAAAAGCGTTTAACGCCTTTCTATAAAGTTTATTCAAAAAATAATTTATAATATATAATATAAACTTAAATATAATACAATATATAATGCGGCTTATGATTGTAGAACGACATTTGACAAATTTTACCGCAAATGTTTCTTTTAAACAAAAAAATCGTAATTTTAAGGAGAAATACACTACACCTATCCCCT